CCAGAACCGAGGGGAACAGGAAGGGGAACCCCCCCTCAGCACCCTCACTGCAGCCCACCAGCAGTGCCCCCTGCTCCCAGCCCGGGCAGGACCCGCTGCCCCACTGCGCTGTGCCCAGCATCCAGCACCCATACGGCTGGCGTGGTCAGGCAGGATGCGGTCCCGGGATGGGTGATCCCATGGGGATTCGCTGCGGGGTCACAGCCAGCAGGATGGGGAGATGTCTCCAGCCCTGCCCTTGTCCCTATCCCTTTCCCCATCCCATCCCCATCCCTTTCCCCACCCCCATCCCGTCTCCATCGCTGTTCTTGTCCCCATCCCTGTCCTTGTCCACACCCCTTTCCCATCTGCATCCCATCCCCATCCCCATCCTCATCCCCAGCCCAGCCCCATCCCATCCCATCTCCATCTACATCCCCATCCCCATCCTATCTCCATCCCTGTCCCCATCCCCTTCCCCATCCCATACTCCTCCCCTTCCCTATTCCCATCCCCATCCCCATCCCATCTCCCTTCCTGTCCCCATCCCATCCCATCCCATCCCATCCCATGCCATCCCCATCCCCATCTCATCCCATCTCATTCCATCCCATCCCATCTCCAACCCCATCCCCATACCATCCTATCCCATCCCATCTCCAACCCCTTCCCCATCCCATCTCCACACCCATCCCCTTCCTATCCCATCCCCATCCCCATCCCATCCTATCCCCATCCCTTTCCCCATCCCCATCCCATCGCCATCCGCATCCCATCTCCAGCCTCATTCCCATCCCATCTCCATCCCATCCCCATCCCCTTCCCTATCCCCATCCCAATCTCCATCCCCATCCCATCCCATCCCAGTCCCCATCCCATTCCATCTCCATCCCCATCCCCATCCGCATCCCCATCCCCATCCCCATCCCCATCCCCATCCCATCCTATCCCCATCCCATCCCAGTCCTCATCCCATCCCATCTCCATCCTCATCCCTATCCTCATCCCCATCCCATCCTGTTCCCATCACTTTGCCCATCCCCATCCCATCCCCATCCTCATCCTCATCTCCATCCCCATCCCCATCCGCATCCCCTCTCTGGCCCCATCTCCATCGCCTTCTCCATCCCATCCCCGTCCCCTTCCCTATTCCCATCCCCATCCCATCCCATCCCAGTCCCCATCCCATCCCATCTCCATCCTCACCCCATCCTCATCCCACCCCATCCCACCTGCATCCCATCCCCATCCCCGTCCCCGTCCCCTCCCTCCTCTCCCCGCCAGCGCCCCGGCTGCTCACCGAGGTAGAGGAGCATGCTCTCCATGGACATCTGCTTCTTCACCACCAGGTAGCTCTCCGTCCCCAGGCAGTGCACAATGGGCAGGACTTTCTCCGAGTAGTGCAAGGGCCGTTCTGCCGGGCAGGGAGAAGGGCAGGGGTCAGGCAGCACCCCAAGGGCTGGCACCCACCAAGGGGGGGGTCACCCATGTGTCCCACCGAGCCCCGAGCAGGCCCCCAACGCAGCCCCACTGCCTCCAAACTGGCT